AGGTTCCACCAGTGGACCCGGAAAGCAGGCCACACCTACAGAAGAGGTTCCAAAATTTTTTGAAACCCACCACTGTATTAGGCCCTGTCTCCACCGACTAAGGCTTCCTGGAGGTTCTCTGCCAGCTACACCCAAGATTTCTGTGGGTCACATGAAATCTTGCAGCCTTGTGTTGGACACCTTATCTATAAATGTACTTCAATATGTCCTTTTGAAAAGGTGTGCAGTGAAAATGTCATTTGGTACAGTGAGTGAAATAAAAATTCTAGAATGCTTTTGTGAGAATGAATTGAGTTTCTGCAAGGGATTAGCATGTTGCAACCCTCTTTGACCTTAATAAGGAGCTCCATGGAGTAAGTGGCAAAAAGAAAACTGGCACATATCTAGAATTCACAGAAAGAATTATGGAAGATTGGTCTATTTCTTTGGAATTCCAAGAAGCAACGGTGGATATTCCCTTTTAACTAGTAAATTACTTGTTTAGTAAATTGGTACATCCACTGCTAACTTTAAGTGATCCTTTTATGCATGAAAAGGTGGTTTTGTGTTGCCACTTCCCTTGTCTTACCTCTGACTTTGACAATCAATCTTTTTTCCTCTTCTTTTTATTCTGAGGCTAACTCAATCCATTAATCTAGGCTGCTCTGACTTTGACATTCACACATACGCTATAAATGAGATCAGAGTGTCTTTCCCATATTCTAAATATATGTGCTTAAAGTATGTTATTGCCACCACATTGTCTCATGATTAATTATTGCATCAATGAAATGCCACATAGCAGTTAAAAGACTTCGTATTTAAACCTTGGGAAAGTCAAGAAACATAGATAAATACTCCATTACCCTGGTTTCCAAGGTCAGCCTCTTTCATTTCAGTCTCAGAATCACTGCCTCCCTCATTTCGTAAAGCAAGCATTTTGCGTTCTAACAACTTTTTCTGTGCAGAATGAAAAAAAAATCTTTAGACTCCAATATCTCAAATTTCATACTGACTTCTTTGAAGTGCATAAACACATACCTTTGATAGCCTCTCCTTGCTCCATTGACCAACTCCTTTCATGGTGCTTACAATACAATCCACAGCTTTGTTGAGTGTTTGCTGAATTTCTTCAAGGGTTGGCATTATAGCGAAATTCGGAATGGAAAGGATAACACTGGCTTTAAAGATGGGCGCAGCATTTCGTTTCTGCTTTGAGATATTCTCACTATCTATATGGAAATGAGAAACATAATCCTTATTAATCCACTCAGATGCAGAATAAAATCCACATCTTCCAAACAGCCAATGGTTAGATAATTCATCAAGGCTTGTAGTTAATAATATGCCCTGGAAAAACAATACAAGGCCACCTGATTTTATTTGAAAAACCAAGGAGGTTTGGTTTATTGTGTTCAATTTAAAAGATACCTTCCTTGGAAACTTTAACACAATGAAACACAAGATACTCAGGGCACAAATAATATATATTGTGTGAACCAGGTTGGTCATACAGTCATAAAAAGACATCAATTTATTGATGAAACATGTATTCTTTGGAGATTGCCTACATCTGCACTGCTCACAGATTCCCTTCTGCCATAAATATTTGAAGATTTGCTTTCATTAGGACAAAAAAGAAGCTTACGTTGCTTTGAACTTTCAGCATTTTGTCCCATATAGTGGGAAGAATTCAGAGCAATAATATTCACAATGGGGCATCTTCTGTTCACATGAAGCGCTGGAATTGAAGCCACGAGGGGAAAAACAAGCAGGCAAGCAGTAGTATTTAGCCTACATTTTATTCCTCCTAAGTCTATTTCATGCTGCTCTGCAAAATCTACCAGCTTTTCAGAAAAATGTAAGAAAAGGGAGTTATCCCAAACTTCGTTTCTCCGTTTCCTTTTACCAGCACAAGTTGGCTATAATAATTATTTTGTACAGAATCATGTGGTGCTCAGATTTCCTTGGTTATAAATCTGGTTTCCTTGGTTATAAATCTGGACAAGCAAATCTACAACTTGGGAACTTTCTTGAAAAGAGCTCCTGCTAGATTATCAAGTGGAGGTCAGGACCAAGGAAGGCTCTGCCGCTGCCTAGTCTGTAACCATATGTAGAGAAAGACCACTGGTAATGGTGAATTATGTCATCATGACCATTAGGCTAGATTGCTGCAAGATGCTTTATATGGGATTATCTTTGGGGCAAAATGGAGCAGCCTACATCCTAGCATATGAGAGCCACAGTAGCTATATAATTCTATGGGCTTCACATGAGTAAAATTCAAGATATTGTTTTTAGAGCCGAGGTGGCGCAGTGGTTAAATGCAGCACTGCAGGCTACTTCAGCTGACTGCAGTTCTGCAGTTCAGCTGTTCAAATCTCACCG